GCTAACCTAATATGAACAACTATTGACAAAGCCTTTGCTTGTAAATTGAGGGAATGTCAGGCGGGCTCTGAGCGCAACGGATTTTGTTACAGCACAAAATCGTTACAGCGTCGCCATCGCTGCCGTGTGCCGCCGACGCCGCCACATAGCATCCGCTGTAGAGACGCTCATAGGCCGCCCCAGCGTCAACGTCACCGCCGCCGCCACATAGAATCCGCTGTAGAGACGCTCATAGGCCGCCCCAGCGTCAACGTCATCGCCGCCGCCACATAGCATCCACTGTAGAGACGCTCATAAGCCGCCCCAGCGTCAACGTCACCGCCGCCGCCACATAGCATCCACTGTATGGACGCTCATATGCCGCCCCAGCGACAACGTCACCGCCACCGCCGCCGATGCTGCCACACATCCTCTGCTGTACCGGCACTCATAAATAAAACGCTCCAGCGTCAACGTCACCGCCACCGCCACATAGCCTGCGCTCTATCGGCGTTTGTAGAAAGCCCCAGCGACAGCATCATCGTCACCGTCGTCGCCATGTAGCCTTCGCTGTACCAGTGCTCGTTAGATGCCCCAGCGTCACCGTCATCGTCACCGCCGCCGCTACTTCTATTTCCGGACACTCGTGCAGCCATGTAGCGTGTGCTCGTGCGTAACGTATAGCAACTCCAGCACACGCGTCGGCAAGAGTTAGCGAGGACGCGTGCCGACGTCGTTTCGACGCCGTCGTCGCGTGGCAATCGTTTCGTGTGTGCCGATATATACACCATCACTAATCATCTACAATGACACGCACCTGCTGTTATTGAGACAGCTCGGCCTGTTGCGCGAAGCTCGTAGTCGCTTGTCCGAAAATAAATTCGAAACGAAATGAACTCGTCTTCGCGAGAAGGCAGTTCGAATCCCACGGTCGTACGACAAAATGTGAAATTGGCTCGCTAGTAAATACCACGTAATAACCATTATGCTAATATACGTAATGATATTTTCGTCGCTAGCTCAAATCACGGACGCCTAATCTCATTAGCCAGTCACGACGCGCGTACGTAAGAGGAGAAAAAAGAAAAAGAAAAAATACGAGATACTGAGATGACTTGTTTAGACAGCGTGTGATGCGCCTGTGCGCCGGCCACGTTACAGCAAGGCTTTTTATAGCTAGAGAAACGAGATACGGTCGTCTTGCTGTTCTCTCACGCACGTTTTATTCCTCCCTCGCGTCTTCCCTGCTCGTTATCAGCAGCTTCTCTTTCCAGTCGCTCGGGTCGACTCTCATGTCGTGTTCGTCTATAGACCCCTATGTGTGCGCGCGCGTGCGTGCAGGCGTGCGTGCGTGGGGCTTGCGCTGGTATACACGTATTCGCTCTTACGCACGTGCGCGCGCACGCACAATCGAACAGTTATTGATAACCATGCTCGCGTAAACTGTGGGTTCACACGTCACATGATGTCGTAAGCGTGATTGCGTCGCTAGGATGTAGGGCGTAGTACGGTAGTAGCCATCCGCGAAACGTATATCATCATTCCCCCCAAGCACCACATGTAGGTCCGCCACGCGGGAGGCACGGTTGAGTAGTGGCATGCATGCGCTCACGCACGCATGCTAGCTTATATACTTTGATGTGAAACCAGGAGGGGATTGATAGGTTTCGCGAAGTCGACTCTAACTCACGGACAGGCGCGGGAAGCCGCGGGTGCGTAGAGAATTCGCAGAACATGCAATATCGCTGACAACGATATGGGATTCGACATTAAATATTTACGTTGTAATTACGCTGTTAGTTAAACCAATGTACGCGGTACGAGTTGGTTTGTGCAGCTCGTGTTATGTCAGTTAGCAGCTCGCTAGGCTACACTGAAAGCCAAATATTTTACTTTCATACGGAGACGGACAGGAAATTGGCAGTGTACCGATATCAGTCAAATCTCGGGATAAAATGCGTTTGCAAATTATACCATATTTGCATTCATCACTTGCTAATTATACGTTTACCGAACTACTGACAACAAGTAACTCCGAGCACAACGCCGGGCTTCCACGCGTCGGCGATTGCGACTTTCAAAGCTCCACTTGTTGCTATGGCGACGAGACGCACACGCGCGAGGAGAGAAAGCAAAGGCGCCTTATCTAGCGCCGTAGCTCATACTGAATGTGGGTTATCTACCTTTATGCGATGAATTAAAATACGCAGCGTAATTTTGTTTCACGCAAATTACACGCCGTACAGTGTACGTACAGCGCGCATAAATTATAATGATTTATGATATCGTTGCTCCGATGAAAAATGAAAAGGCTGTCTCTTTTGAGGTGTAGACGTATACATTTCCTATTAACGCAATGAAAGGATTTCGCAAAAAGCGACGGTTGCTTTAAATCAACTTTGCTACTATGCGTGGCAATAACGAGCACAATGGAAAAGCGAGCAGAAATAAAATAGAGGAGAGTCTTCTAGGCGTGGTTCGCGAGAGCGTGCGGCCGTACATTAGAGATGCAAATAGAAGGCTTCAGTGTATCACGGCAATGCTACGTAAACACGCGATATTATAGACATGTATCAGACACTTCATCGTCGTAAGTCACATCTAGCCTACTAGGTGTTGCTATCCCCCGGGCGTCACGTGATACCGTTGACGTATACTTCAAAACCATTACTCATCCGGTAACAGTAACTCCAATAACTACAACGCTAACCATAACACTAAACACCTATATCTCGGAGCGCTATATATAGATCCAAAAATCCACAAAAATTAATCTATGGTGTGGGGACAGATATCATGATGCAAAAACCCTAACCCTAACCCTAACCCTAACCCAATCCCTAACCCTAACCCTAACCCAATCCCTAACCCTAACCCTAATCCTAACCCTAACCCTAACCCTAACCCTAATCCTAACACTATCCTAACACTAGTGCTGCCACGTTGCGGTCACCTCCCTCCACGCCCGGGGGATAGCATTACCCTAGTCTACTAGGGTCTATCCTCTCTCTTCAGCTTACACCTGCATGGCTGTGTTCATGTATAACAAGAGACGCGTAGAAACTGGAAAACGTGGCACATTCCCTACATAATTGGTACAGACCAAAAATGATGGTGCTAAACATTGAGAATATTTTCAGGTGTGATATTCTGAGGTGTTTTTGAATTATTATACCTATAGTATATTTTTAGGCATGACGTGCTGAAGAAACGTTGTTACATTACGATGTCAGAGGCTAATCGGAATCGAAAAATTTCTGCTAGTGAAAAAAATCATTGTTATAGGATATGCTGGATGCCCTACCCAGTAGATATCTATATCAGGAGCTCATAATAGAGATCTCTATTATGAGCTCTTGATCTATATCCAACTGTGTATACACGCACATCTGTATGCGTGTATGCACGTATGCATCTATATACACAACTTTAGCGCTCTATAGTATAGAGTCTATACTATGTCTACGGTCATGCACGACACTACACGCATTTCTTGCTTACTTGTCTGTGTATGGATTCCTTGTAGAATGAGTTGCGAGCCGCGGTCTGGGCCAGCACAGCGGGGTACGATCATGAAATTCCGCGCAGTTGGTTTTATCTTGCAGACTGCTGCCGCCGTTCGCAGCCATGCGATAGTCACAGCGCGTGTTTTGCTAGACGGTCGAGTTTGTTGTGAAAACACCCCGCGAGTGATAATCTGTTATTTCTGCGGGCAACCAATGCCTGCGTGCCCGTACGGCTGCTACTCGTCTTTTGCGAACGCGTTCGTCGATGAGAGAGACAAAAAGAGAGACAGGGAGAGAGAGAGAGAGAGAGAGAGAGGGAGAGAGAAAGAGCGAGCGAGAGAGAGAGAGAGAGAGAGAGAGAGAGATGGGGGGGGGAGAGGGAGAGAGAGAGAGCGAGAGAGACAGAGAGACAGGGAGAGAGTGTGAGAGAGAGACAGAGAGAGAGAGAGACAGAGACAGACAGAGAGAGAGAGAGAGAGAGAGAGAGAGAGAGAGAGAAAGAGAGAAAGAGAGAGAGAGAAGAGGGAGACGAAAACATTGTGTCGAACCCACAGCGGGTTTACTGTCGCGCTACTTAAAACATCGAGTTGAAAGGCAGGGATTTGCCGCTGCCGAGCGTTAGCCGCCGTAAAACTTGGCAACGATGACGCGATGTTTAGACGTCGTGGAATGTAAATATTGCCACTGCGTGAGCTGCTGTGTAGGTGTTGCCGGCTTCAGTGATCCCTGGTGAGTGGGGGCTGATCGGCAGCAGCCATCTCGAGGCACGATCACAGGTTAATGCTAATTCTAGACTGGAGGCGACGTGATCTCAATGGTCCATATCGGTCATGTACTGTACGATCCTATATGTATTGTATCAAGAGCTTATAATATCTCTATATAAAGTGTTATAAGCTCTTGATTGTATGTTGGATGATCTAGTAGATTGCATGTTGTATGTATTGTATGTTGTATGTTCTATTATGTAGATTGCATGTCGTATGTATTGAATGTTGTATGTTTTATTATATTATTCAGATTGCATGTTATATATCGGTATATGTATTGCAAGAATTGCTATTTCTCACACAGCCGCCTCGGGGTAAGGTTAATTCGCTGAATTAATGCGGGTTCTCTGCAGCCTGGGGAATGGGCTCGGAATAATCGGAAACACTGTGATATAGTCTTCCCCGTGGACTCCGCGACCTCTCAGCTAATGACCTTGGCGTGATGTGTTGTCACAGTTTGTCAAGATCTGGCTAATCTACTCGCTTACGTGTTCCTACGTTCATCCACTATCGGCAATGTGGAAATCAACCGCATGCACGAAATAACGAATACGACAAAAACCGTCGTTCGTTTTTTTGGACGAACCCGCGATGTTACTAGTTGAAACTAAATGTTGAAGTCAAATAAATGCCTATCCCGTCTAATCCTATCTAAGCAGCTTCTAGCGAGGGGTAGTTAATTACTACTTACTATTACATTTATAGGATATTATTATTTTTAACGTTCGATGCTTTATCTTTGCAGGATCGGACATCGGGAATGTTACACGTGTTTAGCCATCGCAGAAAAACATCGCAACGTCTTACAGTACAAGATGAGTAAGTTTCTATTATCATTATCTACTCGTATCCCGTGAAGACATCCTCCTCCTCCTCATCTTCGGCATTTTTTCTTACACGCGTACAATCGTACGGTATCCTAATCTGCCGCGGTAAGCACGCGTCTGCATTGTTCCTGTACTGTGAGTTGAGCGTACACGCCTGGTTTGCATCCACGCGATTAAAACGACTGGCGTTAAACAATAGTCAACTGCCGACGTAAATCCGTTACGGCGTGAAATTGAATACGACGCCATACGAGTACAACGAGGCGAAATTTCGTTTCTAATAGCTCGTTGATTGAGTCAAGCAAATACATTAGATGCAGAGAGCACACTCGTGAGCGCTACAAAAAACAATCGCACAAAGCCCGCTCGGGGCTGTCTGCTAGCACTCGATAATATTGCGATATCGTCGTGTATACTGGCACGTACACACACACACACACACACACACACACACACACACACACACACACACACACACACACACACACACACACACACAAGGGGGCTTCCGTCTCCAGAAATAATGAACACAACCAAGTGCCGAGGAGGGGGAGGCTGGAAAAAGGGCTAGGGGGAAGGGGAGGAAGGGGAGGAGCGCGGAGTGGAGGGAAGGGAGAGGAGCACGGGGGGAAGGAGAGGAGAGGGAGGAGATGGAGGAGGAGGAGGCAGGCAGGAGGAGGCGGAGGAAAGGGAGGAGCGCCGGGGGAGGGGAGGAGGGGGAGTGGGGAAGGAAGGGGGACTCGTCTCCGCAATGAATGACACACGGCGAGTCGCGATAGAGCGCGACGCTCGTGAATTAGAGCCGCCATTCTAAATTTCGACGTTTCCGCGGTAGAAACCTGAAAGGCGCGCATTTAACGATTTTTTTTTCGTCGCTGCGCGAGCAGAGCGAGCAGGTATACACATGCACGCGATGGTACAGCAGCAGGGTACATCACTCCTCATCTCTCTGCTGCTCTCTCTCTCGTCTCTCTCATCTCTACGTCCCTCCTGCTAGAAGGTCCTCATCTCTCTCTCTCACCTCTCTCTGCTCTCTCTCTCAGCATTCTTCTCTTCCTTTCTCTCGTCATCTCTCCTCTACAGAACTCCTCATCTTCTCATCTCGTCTCTCTCTTTCTCTCTCTCTCTCCTCTCATCTCTCTCCCCTCTCGGTCCGTCTCCTTCCTCGTGCGGTCTCTCTTTCTCTCTCTGTCTCTCTTCTCATCTCTCTCCCCTCTCGGTCCGT